CACAGCTCCAGCAACATTCCGCATTGTGGTATCCCTGACATAAGGGGTTTTTGTTCAACGATGATATCTGTTGTATTCACAAAGCTGCTGGCATGGCTCGCGCCGTTCAGCTATGGTCCCGTGATAATGGAAGTATTTGACCTGCTCCGTCGGCATATATTTTTTCTTACCCACCATGTTCTGTGACAGGTGCACCCCTGTGGCAAACACACTGCGAGGTTGAATCGCGTATTTACGGTTCCTTTTCCTCACTCTCTTCACATCTTTGTACACTAGCTTCTCAAATCCCCATTTGCTAGAAACATCACATTGCATTGTTTCCATTACAAATAGTTATTGCAAAAATAAAAATAAAAAAAGGAAATCTATTTGAATGACAGAAATGGATATAAGTTAATTAGCACTAACTTTGTCACTTTCTATTCTGCCTATAATCAGCTCAACCTAACATTCAACCTTGTACAAAAGACAACAATAAATCAGACAGGATGAAACCATGAGTAATAAAGCTACAATTCCACCCATAAATTTGAATTCTAGATTGTCTTTCACCTCCAAAGACTAATTAGAAATTGGTGTTGTCCATCAAATGTTGAATGGGATTCAACCATCCGGCTATAAATCCTGGATATGGGTTGTTAATCTCACATTAAATAACCATCATTGGAGGTTTGTGACATTATAATAACTTCTGGTTGATCTCATCAGACCTCTATAGCTTCAATCAATCTGTACATAACTATAATTCAGGCATCTTCATTGCATGGATACGAGTCATTAAAGCTTGTAACTTGAACTTGTATCTCGGTTTTTAATTCCTTAATACACTTATGAGGCTATCAAATATCCTAGCTAAGATAATATTTCAAAAACGGTGGGCCTAAGAAGGTCTATGGCATGACTAAGAACATGCTAACCCACCTCTTTTTTTTATTAGAGAAAGAACCCCACTTCCACTTGGCACAAATGTCTTGAAAGAAAGAGAAGAATCCAAACTAACATCAAAGGAACTTGCTAATAAATCCAAACAAGTACGCATCACGTAATGTAATTTATTCAAAATCAACGTATTTTATTAGCGATTAAATTTCAACCCCAGTATGATATGCGACAATATTCAACATCAACATGTTTTTTAAGTCCTGATATTTCAACATCACCATTAACCGTTGCAATTACTCCATTGCCACCAAGTGGACAATCACACTGTTTTACAAAAACCCACTAATTATTCAACATGGATTCAGCTAGAGATGCAATTTCAGGCTACCAACACAATTCACAAGCTAACTTAAACACCTACTTAACAGGGAAGTCAAACGAATTGTATCAGTTTTGCTGCAAACCTAATAGTAGGAGACAACCAAACGTGTTCAAATTCAACCCCTTAGAAGGGAACGTCAAGATTTCCCTTGTCTCAGAACTAGAAAACATATCTACGCTTAGGTCAGGTTAATTTCGAGTACAATTTTTCTGCTCTCCAAATAAAAGTTCACAATACTAACTTTTCATTTTTTCTTTTTAAAGATCTAAAAAACAAAGAGGGTAAACCTCATATACGCCCTCTGAACTATCACATTTGTTTTAAATTGGCCCTATATTTTCAATTGCCCCATAATTTATTTCAATCGACTCCTTATGTTAAGATTAACCATTAAATGTGACAAAATTAACAGTTAATCTTAATAATAACTGTTTCAGTGAACAGATAATCTTAACAAAAAAATGTCCCATTTGTCGGCTAATCCCAGCAGAAGGGGTTTGATTGAAACAATTACATAGTTCATGGGATAAATTGGATCAATTGAAAGTTCAGAGACAATTTAAAACAAAAGCCATAGTTCAGGGGATATTTATAATAACTAAAACTACGAAATGGGGATTGAGAAACGGAGGAAATTTACCTGGAAGTTTCGCCCGCATCCTCGGCGAGACAAAGCTTGTTAGACATTGGCGTCTGCTCCATAAATAACTCTGTATACTCAGAAAGCGAATCGAGGACCGACTTGATAGTACTCTTATCAGGTACAAAGATAAATTCATCCACATCGAAGAAGAACATCCACTTAGCTATAAATCGATACCGATGCAAACAATCATTCACAATCAAAAACTGATTATGATAATATCCATCAAACCTCTCTTGCTCTGTAATGATCTGCAAAGTGACGAACCCTTTCTCCATCCAAGGTCTGAGCACCTCCATCACCTCAGAATGTATGCCGCCAGCATCATAAATTACAAAATGCGACTTTCCCCCGAATAACCTCACATGATAAGCCAACCATTCTCTCATCCTCTGTGGACTTAAATTACCATACAATGGAGACCCACAATGCAAATAATCATATTCAGGTTGAGATAAAAAGCTTGAGAAATTTACACTACCAGGTTGTTCCACTAAAGCCTCAATCTTATCGGTCAAATTGAAGTTCCGGTCAAAACCACCATTGGTGAAATCTTGTAGAAGTAATTTTCCACCCGAGTTGTCTTCATTGATGGGGATTGGGAAAGTGCAATTGACAACCACGACGGTGTAGACACGGCCAAAGCCCCAATCTGGGAGGATTTTTTGGCCCACTGAAGTGATGGGTTGTTGGGTTTTGTTGGAATTAGAGAGCCACTGGCATTGGTAGATTGGTCTGCCGAAGACGTGGAGGGGTTTCGCAGCGAGACCGATGATAGCAAAGGTGTTGAGTCCGCCTCTGTAACTAGACATCAGTATGAAGTTGTATGAGGCTGAGCCATAGGCGTTAAAAGCTCGCTTTATAATGCCACCTTCCAGGACCTGATCATTTTGTAGGGACGGAGGTGGTGGTATGGTGGGAAGTGATGCTAATGGTAGGGGGATTACTACATCCGCTGCCACCGGTGGTGCTGATTTGTTTACAACTTCACTTGCTGTGGTGGCGGTGGCGGAGATGCAGCTGGGAAGGTCGGAGAAAGAGGAAATAGAGAATCGAGAGGGGAGGAACTGGAAGATGGTGACGAGAGAGCAGAGGAAGAGGACGGCTGGAAGGAGGAATTTGTGCTCGGCTGCACAATTGAAGAGTATTCGTACAAACATGTTCTTCTCTTTCTCTCTCTCCTTTTCTTTTCCCACCATTATTGAAAAAACTCTCTGTAAGTGCTGATGCTGGAACTGTTACTTTTAGAGAGAGAGCCACCACCACCACAACACAACAAAAAACCACAGCTAAGAACCGAAGCAGAACAAAGGAAAAAAAAAAAACTAATCTCTCTCTTTCTCTATGAATGTCCAGAGTGTGCGAATGGTCTCTGGAATTTGTAATGGTAATAGCGTAATGCTGTTAATGTATTCGAAGGTGCATTTATATCGGATAAGGAATATGAAATAGTGAAAAAGAAAAGGGAAGTGAATGAGTGATTATGTTATGACAAAGTTAAAGTTGTTTCTCTTCTGGCGGAAGGCAAGGGGACGAAAGCTGCGAGTTTGGTGTGTACACCATCTTTTGCGAATATGCTCTATTCCAAACCTCCTTCTCCTTTGGTACACTAGCAGGTTCTGTGACCTAAAACTTACTGGTGTTATCCCGTGATTGTTTTGTCACGTACGTGTCAATAAATAATTATTTAATACTATTATAATGCATATGATATTATGTAAAGAAAATAAAAAAAATTACGAAACACATTTTTTGGTTTTTATTGTCGTGTTATTCATATTAAATCTTAATTCGACTCATTTATTCTTCGTATTAATCTAACATGTCAGTTTTTGTTTCACGTCGTGTTAAATTTATGTCCATGGATAAAATTGACAACCCAACTAAAACTTTAATTTGACTTTTTGACCTCATAATGTGACAAATAATATAGAACTATCAAAAATGTTCCGCAATTACAATCGTAATTGTTGATCCCAAAAATTGTTCACCAGGTGGATAGTTGGGATTGTGACTTGGCAGCCGATGGGGATGATCCTGCAAAGAAAGTCAAGGATTTGAGGGGCTCCATTGGTCGTCCTTTCAATGATAAAGTTAGAAGGAGAATGAAAGAAGGATGTTATAATTAGTTGGGAGAAGTCAACTTATTTGGATGATGCTCAACTTGGCCTTTTTATAGGTTAAGAGAGTAGACCGTTGAAGATCCTTTAGCTGCTTACTTGAATAAGGCAACATCAGAAGTGGAACAGCTTCGACGCCCATTGGCATGGATATCTCAACTAGTTTGAATTAGTCAATCCGAGCTAGGGTGCTGGTGAGCTAGGAGTTGGCGTCCTTTCCTAGTCATCAAGTTTATCCTATGAGTAACAAAGCTCATGTGCCGAGCTCGTGTCTAATTATCATCATCAGTTGTCCTTTAATTCAGATCAGTGAGCTGCACGCGCACTGAGTTTAATGCATTTGTCCATTAGTGTTTGGGAAAGCAGACATGTTAGTCATGCACATGCAGTTGCCAAAGAGTCGTTGTAGGGTCAGTGCATAAAACCTTCATTCCCTCTCCTTTTAACACATCTTTGAGAGTTTTAAGACATCTGGTATGCCCATCCTTCTTTATCTTTATCTCTTTTTGCCTTTCAGTTTTACTGTAACTCCTCATCTTGAAGCATATAGGTTGGAGCCACACCTTTTAGTTTCATTTTTATTGCTTTTGTTTATTTCAATGGAAGGACTCCAATCTCGATTATCTCGAACGTTTTTGTGGATAGATCTATTTGAGCTTGACTGAATTTGTACTCGACTTCTGTCTTTCTTGGATTGTCGATAGCCCTAATCGCCCCTTCCACCAAATTTATACATCAATCACCATAGATTCCCTATCATGGCAAACAATTGTGAGCACATGTCCTCTAAGGATACTCCATAATTAGTTTCCCAAGCTGGCATAGTCAACGAGGACTTCAATTCTATTTTGGAGATTGGCTCGTTGAATCTCAAGGTCATTGGGGCCAAAAACTATCATAGTTGCCTTAACAAGAACACTCTTTAGGAAATTAGGGCCTTATATCAAATTCCTAACTCTATGTGCCTTAGGGTGCCTTTAGTTAATGAAACCGCCAATTCTTTTGGCCATAACAAAGTCTGTTTCTACAAATCCATCTTTGAGGTTGGGCTCTGTTTTTCCAATGCCCAAGTACATTAGGGAAGTTCGTCATTTCTAGAATCTTGACCCCTAATAGTTGCGGAGTTCATGTATTGTTATAAACTCACCTCCCTGCCCTAGGCAGGGCTCGGGATGGTTTTACCTTTCAAAGAGAGAAGGGTTGAATCTACTTTTTGGTTACTCTTTGAATATGAAAGAGTGGAAAGACAAATTCTTCTGTATCTATAGCTCTGACTGGAAATTTGGGACATCAGAGACTATGTCTAGCATACCTCTTTTGGTTCCTCACCTATAGGGATCTTCTACCCCTTCTCTTTGTAAGTTGTCCCCCTTAGGTTGTGCTTTAACAAGTTCTTTTACTAAATTCTAACCTTATGCTATTTTGTAATTCAAGAAAATCCAATCCTTTACCCCCTGAACTGAAATTTTAGGTTAAGAAAGCTATTGATTATTCTTCTAATGATATCTTTGATTTGGTGAATGACCAGGCACTCTTTGAGTGTCATCTAGGTCCTCCTTTTGTTGCTCCCAATCCTCTGGCTGCCATAATTTCCTCCGCTAAAAGTATAGTTTTTACCTTGTTGTAGTTCTTGTTATAGCTTGGACATGCTTTGACATGTTCTTTCTTTCTGGTCATCTCTGCCAAACCATTTGACAAGAATGTACTTCTGGAGGTTATAGCCAGAAGAGCTTCTAATGCCAACCCTCCACCACATAAGAGACCCAGGGTGTCTTTTTCTCAGGCAAGGCATCAAACCTAAGCTCTATCTTTTCTCCATCAATTCCTCCTATCTCCATGACTGCTCTGGAGGAAGGCATCAATCTTACAGTGTTTAATCAGTTAGATGATTCCCTTCCATTGGTCCCACTAGTTGAAGCTCCATCTGCCCCTTTTACAGATAAAGGTAGGGAAAGGGTAAAATTTTTGGGTTTATCGAGGAACAGGTTGATACTGACACGACTTCCACTAAGGATCCAATGACCACCCCTTCTTTCATGTGGGACAGTGTGGAAGAGGCAATGGCTAGGTTCCACAAGTTTGTGAATGAGGAAGAGTTGCACGCTACTTTCAATATGGGGCTATCTTAGATTACCAATAATCTAACTCTAACCATATGGAAGGTGAGGGTCCTATTTATTCTCGGCTTACCCTATTAAATACTCCATTGTTCCCTATTTTTAATCGTGACCTTCCTCTGTTCATTTCTCAGCTTGCTATCCTCACTATCAACCTCTCTTATACTACTCTAAGTGAAAAAAAGGTTTATGAAGAGTAGTTTTAAGCCTTACATTCTCACTTGAAATGAGGGACAAAAAATTGATAGCAGCTCGGGAAGATATCTTGAGGTTTATGATGGAGGTTGAGGAAACCCTTGGATGTGTTTCAACTTCTAAAAACAAGCAGGATAAGGTATTTAAGACCAATAATAAGCAGTTGGTTAAGCAGAATAACTATATGGCCAAGTCCATCTAGTTGTCTATGAGGGGTAAGGAGCTGGAGCAGGAGAAGGAAGTTTTTTCTCTGAATGTTTCGGACTTCTCCTCTAAGCTTAAGCAAAAGGAACTTGACGTTAAGTCCAATGGGGAAGCTATCTTAGCAAAGTATTAATACTCCAAGGATTTCAAGGAGAAGGTTCTTGAGTACTATGTGGATGACTTTGAGCACTTTACAAAGCGATCCCAAAAGGAGTTTCCTAACTTAGACTTCTCCAAGTTTGTTTCAAGAGATGATGTAGCACCTACAACTAGTGGAGAAAAGGATGGGGGATGAAGTGAGAAGCAAACCTCACCATGAATAAGAAGGATGGCGAGCATATCGAGACCATTGCTAAGGAATTGCCCATGTTGGCTAGAGAGATTGTAAGAGATGTTGCAGATCTACCAGAAGGGGATAAAAAACTTGAAGCTACTTCAACTGCTGATCTTGTAGGGAAAAATAAAGAGGATGCTTAGTCAATTAAAATTATTGCCTATTTGTCTTTATAGTCCTTTTGTAATGATGCAAACTCCCCTTTAATGACAACTTCCTTTGTACAAACTTTTGTGATTGTTTTGGTTTAACTTGAACCTTCCTTACTCCTGTGTGGGTACTATTGGGCATTAACTAAATCAAGCAACTGTAAAGTTTTGAGGATTTACTATGAGATAAGTCTTATACTCCCCCTTTTTTTTATTTGGCCTCTTGGTCTCAATCTATGATGGGTTCAACGCCTTGATCTTCTGTTGAGCCTCTTGAACTTAATCTAAGTTAGAATTAAAGAAAGTGAAGGTCCCATTACCATAAATGATTTTAACTTAGCTAAGTTGTCTTCTTAATGATGTTGAAAATAGGTGCATTTGACAGTTACACAGTCACATTGTTAGGAGGTATGGCTGGTGTCGTTCATTCCCATGATGCCATGAACCTTGGGTATTAAGCACTTTTGGTGCATGCCTTTCGCATTAATTTCCATATATTGGAGAGAACCGTCACTATTTTAATCCTTTCCCTTGATCCCTTTCATGCATTATCTTCTTTTTCTTTCGTCACTCTATAGCTAGCACTCCTACTCATTTTTCTCATGGATGCTTTACAACTATAACAAAATAGGTTTTGAGAAGGCGAACCCTTTATAACATGGAACCTTCTTGGGCTAATCTCTTAGTGCCAAGCAGAATGACAATAGACCAATTGATGGGCATTAGGGGCATTATAGCTTCCCTGCCGGGGTATAGGTCCATATTCCTCGTCCAGACTATCCTTGAAATATTGTTGCTTAAAGGAAAGTCTACTTCTTCGAGTATGCCTTCATGGTGGGTCTTCGATTTCCTTTTTCTCCCTTTATCAAGGTTGTCTTTTGTCTGTTAAACCTATGCCCTGCTCGGGTCTCTATGGAGGGATGGGACATTTTGGTTGGCATCATGGTCTTCTGTTGCTTAACGAGGCTAGGTGAATCTCCAAGCATGGTTGAGCTTATCAATCTATTCTTCTTAGCTCCTGACTATCACGAATTCTACCGATTCCTCAGAAGAAAAGGGATGCCTAAACTAATTTCTAAC